TTGGAGTCTATTCTCAGTAGGGGAATTGCTAGGTCAAATGGTATCTCTATTTGCAACTTTTTGAGAAAGCACCACACTGCCTTCCACAGTGGTTGCACCATTTTACACTCCTACCAACAGTGAATACGGGTTCCAGTTTCTTCACAACCTCAGCAGCATTTGTTGCTTCCTGTTCTGTTAAATTTTGCAATTCTGACTGGGGTGAGATAGTATCTCCTAGTTGTTTTGATTTGCATCTCTCTTAGAGCTAGGGATTTTGAACATTTCTTCATGTGCTTGTTGGCCATCTGAAAGCCTTCTATGGTGAAGTGTCTGTTCACATCTTGTGCCCATTTTTCAACTGGATTGTTTACCTTTATCTTTTTGTGGTGCTCAAGTATTTTGTAAATTCTAGATCTGACATGTCATTTCCGGATACTTTTTCCCAGTCTGTGGTTTCCCTTTTTACCCTGTTGGAGAAGTTTTTGGATGTACATAGGGATTTGATTCTTAGAAGGTCCCATTCACCTATTTTATCTTCTCCTGGTTGTAGATTTTTTCAGGATGCTTGGAAGACTGTTTATGTTGTGGATTAGGACTTCTAGAGTTCTTCCAAGCTTTTCTTTAATTAAGTTTATAGTCCTTGGTCTTAGCCCTAGGTCCATGATCCACCTAGAGTTGGTTTTTGTATATGGAGTGAGGTGTGGATCTTGCTTGAATCTTCTGCAGATAGTTTTCCAATTTTGCCAACATCATTTGTTAAAAAGGCTGTCGTTTCCCCACTTAACTGATTTCATCTCCTTGTCAAAAATCAGTTGACCATAGGTAGATGGGCTGATTTCTGGTTCTCAATTCTATCCCATTGATCTATGTGTCTGTCATTGTACCAGTACCATGCTGTCTTAATCATCATGGCAGTGTAGTAGGATTTGAAATCAGGGAGTGAGATGCCGCCTACCTTTTTTCTATTTTTAAGGAGTGCTTTGCTTATTTGGGGCTTCTTTCCATTCCAAATGAAACTGAAATTGCCTTTTACATCTCGTTGAAGAATGGGATTGGTATTTGTATTGGGATTGCATTGAATGTGTCAATTGCCTTTGGTAGTATTGCCATTTTCACAATATTGAGTCTTCCTATCCATGGGCAAGGGATATTCTTCCATTTCTCCAGGTCTCTATTTTATTTCTTGTAGCACTGTTTTATAATTTTCTTTGAATAGATCCTTTGTGCTTCTGGTTAGATTTACGCCCAAGTTTTTAATCTTGTGATTCACTGTTGTGAAGGGTATTGTTTTTCTTAGCTCTGGTTCTGTATTTGTCGCTGTAGAGAAATCCACCTGATTTTTGTATGTTGATCTTGTATCCTGGTACTTTGCTGAATAGGTCAATTATGTACAATAGTTTTCTTGCTGAGTGTTTAGGGTTTTCTAGGTATACTATCATATCATCTTCATAGAGAGATAATTTTGCCTCTGCAAATTTGGATACCTCTTATTTCCTTCTCTTGTCTTATTACTATCGCTAAGACTTCCAATACAATATTGAATAAGAGAGGTGAGAGTGGGCACCCTTCCCTAGATCCTGTTTTTTTTTTTCTTCACAGAACAACTGGTTTATTAGGATGACCAACTCTTTTTTAAAATGTATTATTAATTTCAATGAAAATTTACAGAGACTTTGGATTTCCATTCACATTGTTGCACTTTTCTCCCCTTTCAACCCTCCCCCATAGTACACTACCCTCTTGGAAAACGGAAAAGAAAAATTCTTTCATTGTTTTACAATCCCGCCCCCAAGGTCCACTCCACTATACAGCCTTTGCTCTGGATTCCTGTAATGACAAAAATCCCTAATATTTTCCCTCTTAAACCATTTTCTCCATCATCTGTTTCAATGCAGTATACATTATTGAACAAATCCTTCTCAGTCTCCTCCCAACTCCAAGGTCAGTCCTGCTTTACAACAGTGGCACCATGTAGTATTTGTCCTTTTGTGACTGAGATACTTCACTCAGCATAATGTCCTCCAGGGTCACCCATTTTTAATAATATTGCATGAGTTCCTTGTTTTTCAATGCAGCATAGTATTCCATTGTGTGAATATACCACAGCTTCTCTATCCATTCATTTGTTGATGGGCACTTAAGTTATTTCCAACTCTTTGCTATTGTGAACAAAGCCGCGATAAACACGGGTGTGCATATATCTGCTTGGATGTCAATTATGGTCTTTTCGGGGTCTATTCCCAGTAGTGGAATAGCATCAAATGGTATCTCTATTTGCAACTTTTTGAGAAAGCACCACACCGCCTTCCACAGTGATTGCACCATTTTACATTCCTACCAACAGTGAATACGGGTTCCAGTTTCTCCACAACCTCAGCAGCATTTGTTACTTGCTGTTCTGTTAAATTTTGCAATTCTGACTGGGGTGAGATGATATCTCATAGTTGTTTAATTTCCATCTCTCTTAGCTAGCTCCTGTTCTTAAAGGGAATGCCTTTAACCTCTCTCCATTGAGAACAATGCTGGCTCTTGGGTTTGCATAAATACTTTTTACTATGTTGAAGAAATTCCCCTCTAATCCTATTTTGTTGAGGGTTTTAATCAGGAAAAGGTATTGGATTTTGTCAAAGGCCTTTTCTGCATCAATTGATAGGATCATGTGGTTCTTGTTCTTTGCTTTGTTAATGTGGTGAATTACATTGATTGTTTTCCTTATGTTGAACCATCCTTGCATATCTGTTACAAATCCCACTTGGTCATGGTGAATTATTTCTTTATGTGTCATTGAATTCTTTTGGCCTGTATTTTATTCTGAATTTTTGCATTTAAATTCATAAGAGATATTGGCCTATAGTTTTCTATTTTGGTGGTGTCCTTTCCTGGGTTTGGTATCAAGGATATGTTTGTTTCACAGAATTAATCTAGGAGAATTCCATCTTTCTCTATTTCCTGAAACAATTTATGTAGAATTGGTGACAGTTCTTCTCTGAATGTTTGATAAAATTCACTTGTAAAACCATCTGGTCCAGGGCTTTTTTTGGTTGGAAGTTGTATTCCCTTTTCAATTTCTTCTTTTGTAATGGGTCTGTTCAGATGTTCAATTTCGGTTTGTGTTAGGTTAGGTAGGTTGTGCATTTCCAAGTATTTGTCCATTTCCTCTAGGTTTTCATATTTGTTTGAATATAGTTTTTCATAATACTCTTATGTTAGCTTTTTTATTTTAGTTGGTTCTTTTGTTATGTTGCCTGATTCATCTCTTATTTGGATTATTTGTGTCATCTTCTTTTCTTTTGTAAGTTTTGCTAATGGTTTGTCGAAACAACCAACTTTTAAATACAAAGACCCTTCCCAAGGTTGACAAGAGGCTTAAATAAAAACAACCAATATAGTATGATTTTGTTATTAGGTGATGTTGTGTCGCCTGTGATGTATAATGACCGTATGTACAGAAGCTTCGAACCCTTCCCTGTCCTGAGCCCGTTTCACTAATTCTGACACACCAACCCCCATTGCCCCAGACACTGACTCAATCCATCTTTCTCTCCTGTGCTGTCTCTCCACACTTCTGAGTATGATGTCCTTCTCTAAAGACCGGTCTCTCCTGGCCACACACCTAATGTATGTGTGATTGAGCTTCAAAATCCTAGCCTCCAAGGAAAGACTTGGTTTCACCCTCTCCAAGACAGACTGATTTGTTTTCTTGGCTGTCAATGATATGTTCAAGACTCTTCTCCAGTATCTCTCTCTTTTTTAATTACTATTTTAATGAACACTTACAGAGATTTTGGATTTCCATTCATTCATTGTTGCACTTTTCTCCCTGCCCACCCGTCCCCACCAGTCTACTCTTCTCTTTGAAAAGTAAAAGAAAGATTCTTTCACTGTGATACAATCCCCCACCCCCACCCCACTCCCCCATGCAGCCTTCATTCTTTTTTTTTAAGGCAAATGCAAACTCTTTATTAGAACTTTGAACCAAATCCTAAGCAGAAGTTGATGAACTGGGTTGAGTCTCACGGAAGAACACAAACTCCTCTTTGCACAAAGTGGAGGATTGCTCATGTTCACCTGGGTTTTCCTCCTGGTTTCCCACTTGTCATGCAGCTGCTGCTTTGGGTGAGGACAGCACGTGCAGAGAACACTTCAAGTGGAATGAAAGGCACCCAGGAGTATTCTCAGGAAGGTTTGTCCCAGTCCATTCTCTGAATGCAATTCTCCACGCCAAGAGAAGAAGCATCTCATCTCACTGTGGGTCTTGTCCACAAAATCTATTCTGGTTTCCATCCTTTGTGGACTTGAAAAGGCAATTCAAGGTCCAAGGCTCAAGTGGGAAGCCAGCACCCATCCCAGGACAGTGGTCTATCAGCCAGGCTGGCGGACTACCAGGAATATGCCGTCAATCTCAAGGATGAGGTCAGCAGAGCATCAGGAAAGTATTTTTCATTGCTCAGATGCCTTGCCTGGGATGAATGAGCTGAGCAGATCAGACTCGGTAGTCCTTTCATGAAAGTCTCTTTGGTGTTGTCCCCAGAACAGCATAAGGGGATCAGCAACTTATTTGACTTGTGCTGACCCGAAGGCCAAGCTACATACAAGGCAAAGACACCTCTGTTCAAATTAAGCCCACTCTTGTCATCTAATCTATTTATATTATCACGGGAACACTAGATAATAATGTCTAGCTCTAACATGAGCTAGGAAATCAATAGCTATTTTTAAATGAGTTACAGGGATTAAAGATAACAATCATGCAATAACTCGAAAATCGAACACCACCTTCTCCCACCCATCTTGAACTCAGCTATGTCTGTCTCTTCCCCAACAGGTGGATTAAAGTCCTAATAAGATGTTTCATTGGTTTGCTTTTCCCCAAAACATGTGTTCCTGAACATCCATTTTGCTTATTTCTTCATAGTCATTTCAGCTCCAGCCAGTTGAGGTCTCACTGAAGTATAGTCTATCCAAAGTCAGGAAAGGGCATACTTCGTGAAAAACATATCTTGCAGGCCTGAGCTTCTTCAAGATGGTGAGTATGGACATGCCATGGAGAACCGTGCAGGGTATGAATAAGGGTGTAAGACAATGGCAAATAGGGATTTATGCCCCTTGCCCAGGGCCTCGGGGCTTCTGACTGGTAAAGGTGGCCCTGATTTGCTTGTTTGCGCCCAAGCACCACAAATGCCCTTTCCCCCAACAGCCACCATCACGCCTTGCTCCATGCTTTCATGGGGTGACCTGTTGGTCCACTGCTTCTTGGCTTGATTCTCCCTAACGACTCCCTGGGCCGACTTCCCGCTCTCAAACAGGCGCCTAAGAATCACCTGGCGCTCCTCCAGGGACTGCTGCAGGTCGTCCAGGGTGTGGCGAAACTGCACGGTCAACTCCTCCTGCTCCTTTTGCATCCTCTGCAGCTCCATGGCCAGGGTCCACTCGCTCTTTACCACTTGACTCTCCAGCTTCTTGATCCGATGCTTCTGCTTAGCCTGCTGCCTTGCAGCAAATCGCACCCCCAGAGCAAGCGTGCTCCAAGCGCACACCCTCTTGGTGGAGCGGGGCAAGCGCGGGTCTCCCAAGATGGCCTGGAGCCTGTTCTCCACCTCTGGCCAGTGCAGTGAGCGGCAGGCCGAGTAGAAGTCGGACCTGCCGCCATTCTTGAGGACCTCCTCATTGATGAACATGACCACAACCATGTGGCGGAAGCCGCTGCTGGTGTCCTTGAGGTTGATAGCCATGGACACTGTGGCCTAGTCTGCAGGCCGTATCTCAAGAAGAATTCGTCACCCCTTAAGGAAGCAGCCACCGAGAGGTTAGGCCCTCACCTCGTTCCTCAATTCAGACCTGGTTGGGGGGAGGGGCGGCGGGTAGCTCTGGGTGCTGCTGGGCTCTGGACCGCACAGTTCTCTGCAATCACAGCCTTCATTCTTATCCTGCATCTCTTATACTGGCCTACTTTTCCAAGCATTTGGGTGACTAGATAGAGAAACCAACCAGCACCAGGTGGTAGACACACCTCTCAGGGCTCAGGGCAGATGTTCTCCCAATATGCACTGTACAACCTCTCTCCAGAAGGCAGTCCCACATTCCTGTGTGATAAAAAGCTGTATATCTGAAAGGCTTCTTTGCCAATAGAGTGACATGTTGTTGTTGTTGTTATGTGCCGTCGAGTTGTTCCCGACTCATAGCGACCCTATGCACAACAGCCCTAAACCCTGCTCTGTCCTGCGCCAAACGCACCGCCTCTGACACACCCATCCCGATTACCCCAGTCACAGAATCAATCCATCTCATAGAGGGTCTTCCCCTCCTGCGTTGTCCCTCAACCCTCCC